ATGGAGCAAATATCGCTTTCAAAAAACAAATAAAATAGAAACGCAAAGATATATTTTATCTACGATTGTTTCATTACAAAGTGTCTACTTACTCTCTCATTAAGCCATTGTCCATTCTTCAGAGTTTCCAAATCGCTTTCGTCACAAACATCAACAGTATTTTCTATGACCGGATGAGTGGAAGGACGCCGACTCTCCTTAAATTTTTTTAACAAAATTAAATGGGTTATTCTATTATCGTTTATAATAAACGAAAAGTATTGGAAGATTGGTTTTGAACGGATAAAAGGGGGAAAACAATAGAAAAAAATATATAATTCCTTTTTACCTCATCTCCTTTTGTGCTTGGTGACCAGAATTTTTTATCCTGAAAATTTTATGCACCTATTAGCTTCTAAATTATAAATTCACAAGCTGCAATTAAACACTACAAGTTTACCTAAACATGTCTGTTTTATAGTTTTAGTTGTCGGGAAATTAAGAAATAAATGCCACCTTACCTCAACGCAAGAAAAGTTGGCGTCCGTTTCCTCTAGATACAAGTACTGAARGTAAAATATAGARATATTTCTATTGCATCAACAGAACGGGATCTCTCTTCACGTCACCAGTAAACAAAGAACTGCTTTTAAAAACTAACCTCTTCGTATTCCTTTTTCTYGTATCTCAGTATATAAACATCTGTCTACACAGTGACATATGAAAAGGCATAAATTTTATTGGTATTTAATGAAATGAAATTTTAATTTTAATTTTGTCAACGTCAATAGTTTAGCCCCTACCTGTACGCCCTTCGTTTCAAAGTACTCTTCTTTTTTTGTGCGCACGTTATYATCATCATCGAAATGAAGCCATTTACTACCCTGTCTTATGAGAACTGTGTCTAAAAGAGAGAAAAAAGAATTTTTCTTTGCGGGCGCAGCGTTTCCAGGACTTTTTTTTTCCAAAYATCATACATATAATTCCACAAGCACAAATGAAACTACCAACATTACTTAAACTTACCAATGGCCTGAATTTGTCGTTGGGCCACGATGGAGCTGAAGAGAAGTAAAAGAGGTATAGGAGCAATAGATAAAGTTCGTTTACAGCAGCAGGATGAATACAATTTCAAYTAAATATGCACTGCATGCATGCTTGTAAGTATGTCAGGGTATTGCAGAACTCACCACAGCAGTCTCTAATGAGTATTCGTGTCTATGTTCATGCTCTGGTAACACCTCCACCACACGGTTTGCCATGTTTATATATCTTAAAAAGAAAAAATATGTATGATAGGCCTACATTCATTCAATCTGTTCAAACACTAGTTACGACACTACATTACATTTCAATTGCACGGTACCTTGGTAGAGATACAACTGCACAATTCTTTTGATTCAGTTTGGACCTTCCCAAAATCAAGTACAAGGATTCTGGAGTCGTTAAAAGTKTTGTCGTTTTTCCAGTGGCAGTGTTCCTTGAGCATGTTTCGCATTGCCTGATAAGATACGCAATATACGCTCATTACAGTCTTACAAATCACAACGTTTACATGAGAATTGTTTGTTCTCTTACACTTTATTCTCATCATCCAAAATCTCGTCCTCAAAGTACTGGTCCATGCACTCCTCCAAGCGGCATTCGGACGTATTGGGTAGTGGTAATATGAGAGTGGAATACCGATCAACGATCTTATCCTTCTGAAAGTCAAATCACATCACGTATCGTAGAGCAAAACCTCAAGAACACTGAAATTGCCCATGCCGGCGTATGCTTAMCTCCAAAAACATCCGCAAACTCATTTYCAAAACTCACCTGAACAGCACAATCGAGGCAAGTTTGATATACTGAAAGGTATCCCATAAATGACAGCGCAGTTTCTGGTAGCTGTAAAACGTAATAACAAATRCACCTTTGATAGACTCMATTCAGYAATATAGCCTTATTGTTTTCAATGAYATTGTCGGCATACCTTGGCAAACAGCTCGTTCAGAAGTAAAGTTAAACACTCCTGTGCATCTTGTTGTTCTCCCATGGTAAACTTGGAATCGATTTTTGAAAGGAACATCTGGATAAGGAAAACAACGAGGATACTTTAAAGAAAAACATTCAGTCCAGTCTACACCATAGCCCAATTAAAGACCAGCAGTAGGACTCAAAACAAAAAACAAAACAAAAAAAATACTGATTGCAAAGGATGAACAAACAATTTTTAAACTAAACATATTCATCTCTTACCAGAACGTTTTTTGGATCAACACTTTCAATGTGACGCTCGGTTACACATGGACTTCTCAGCTGTCTGAGAGTATCAACCACATCTTTTGCAAGTTGGGTTTGAAAAACGCTCTCCACGATCAAACAATCGCTGTCTGTAGAAGCCGGTGATTTCGATGACTCATTCCTCGAATGTTCTAAGAAGGAAAATCACGTAAAACATAAGAAAGTACCTTTGCACATTTGGTGAAATTGGTAGACGTTAACTACGTGWGACTTAACTTACCTATGATAGAATCTGTGACTGGATCCCTGACTAACATTTGCAGTGTTGCGCTCAAGTAACAAGTACTGCCAAGATTTTTAATTCCTTTTCTATCAGCAATCGCCCTTGAAGGGACAAGCGGAGGCAATTTACAATATATATTTACAATATTTATAATATTTACGTCATTGAAACTGTTTTTGCCTTCCCTTTTCTCATTTGGGAAAACATTTAGTCTTACCTTCTGAAAAGAGCACCCCCTTCGCATTTTTTGCCGTTGTTTTCCTGAAGTTGTTTTTAAAAGGTACGAATTAGTCGAAGGCCACTTCAGGTTCATTTTCATTTTTTATCAATATTATTATTAATGATACCATTACTTTCCCTTACCTTTTTCTTTATATGGCCTAATTAAAAAAGTTATTTCTGATCTCCCTCTGTTTCCTGGTGCGACGATCTTAACCATATCTTAACATTCTGAGGCATCTTTTGGGAGAGTTTGATGGGGTCCTTAACAATAATTTAACCATATCTTAACATTCTGAGGCGGTTTCTAGGAGGGTTTCCGACCTTCCTTAACAATAATTTAGCCATATCTTAACATTCTGAGGCATCTTTTGGAGGAGTTTGGTGGGTGGCTTAACAAAGTCTTAACCACATCTTAACATTCTGAGGCGGTTTCTGATATAGTTTCCGACCTTCCTTAACAATAATTTAACCACATCTTAACATTCTAGGGCCGCCAGGGTTACACCCTTCTACTCCATCTCCGGAATCCTAGAATTTCTCTGCGGCTCCGCTCTGTAGTAGACAACTTTGGGTGGTTGCATGCGCGCCCAAACGACGGCAGCTATGCCTACGACTGCAAATAGTACATTGCCGGCTATTTGCCAGTCTATTTTTGTGGATACTTCCTCTACTTCGTTCTCTATTTCTTCTAGGTCCTTTTCCCCTGTTTCTTCGAACGAGTCTTCTTCCTGGTCCATTTTGGCTAGCAATTCCTCCTTCGCAGCCCGTAGTTCTTCTCTAGCTTTTTGGAGATCGTCCAGGACTATAGCAAAGGAATCCTGCACTTCTAGGAAATGTTTCTGCAAATCCGTAGTAGGCGGCTTTTCGGGAATTGCTACCTCCAGACCATTTTCCCGCTCTATCCTGCGTATCTTTGGTATGCCTATGCCGTACTTTTTGGCTACCTTCTGCAGCCCTACTCCGTTCTTTCTATCTTCCAACAATCCTGCGGTTTCCTCCTCGGATAGTATTTTGGGTGTTGCCATATATATCTAGAGATATGGTTCGGATATGGGTATTCCGTGGACAAACACTATGGATCCATAGGAGTATTCCGTGGGTCCATGGGATATAGACATGTATCTCTACATAGCTCTAGGCATAGCCGGCTACATGCTAGGAAAACAAAGGACGACACAAATACTTTTGGAGATCTTAGAAGGTCTCTACAGAGCGCAAAAGACTTTGCAGGAAATTCGCATACCAGGCTACGTAGCTACTTTGGCGCAACTACCGCGGCGTAGATAGTACTAGGGAAACGACTCGTTCCTCCATACAAATGGGGAGGTGTTTCGCCTCCACCTACTATCCCACGGGGAATTCTGGTGCTTGCTACCAGCGCAGTGGACACAAAAAAATGTGTCTACCAGAGTAGAAAAGGTAGCCGAAAATGGTTGCCGAAACAATGGGCAAAAATATACTCTTCTAACTGCGTTTTTGGAATTTCATTACTACGCGAATTAGATTAACTCAGGGAATCATGGGGTTAGGTCGGGTGAATCAGGACTGGTATGCCCTATACTACTTTGTACTCTACTGATTATAGTTGGATAATATTATAGAATACGCTTCGTACACGGCTTACCACGTCGATAATGTTGTTAAATGTGGTATCCAAGGTAACGTTTAGAGAGGCTTTAACATCCAAAGCCGGTCGTACGTCCGTATTGTATCGGGAAATCACACTTGTAATGAGCCTGTTTTCATGGATAGCAGAGCAATTACCTGTTGGGAATGATACATTTGTACATACATACATCCGTTTTAAACTATAGTTTTATCTCAAAAAATCAGATCGAAGAAAATAAAAAACAAAAAATAATAAAATAACGAGATAGAAAACCCTTAACTGCTTGACCACTAAGTTGGTTTATTTTTAAAATCTGATGATGTTTTTAGGCCATCGACTGTAGCACCTTAGTAACAGGATAAAGCACAGGCAGCCCAATCTCTTGAAAAGAGTAGGGGGATGAAAAAAACTCGATAATAACTTCGTTCAAAAAGCTCCAAAGTGGCTTAAAATCAGCAAAATATAAAAATATTTTCACAAGATGGTTATTTTTATTCGCAAAAGTACTAATTTTACAGTATAAGAGATTGGTCTGCCTGTGGATAAAGCAGAGATATGTGTTGATATTGATATATGAAGATATAGAAATATAGATAAGTTATAGTGCTTGGGAACGAGGTTATTCCGGGCAAAAGCCCTTGGAATAAGCCTGAAGCGAGATGACCTTTTACCCCCGTCTCTAGACCATAATCCTTTTCACACTGTTTTTGTTCTTTAATTATGATTATTGTTCCTGTATTCTCTAAGGAATCAAAAATTTTAATATGAAAGAATTTTAAAAACTATTATGATATAGAGTCGGGGGTAAAACGTCATCTCGCTTCAGGCTTATTTAATTCGGAAAAATTAATTTCCGACCTCGCTGGGAATCGTGGGTAGTGGGGTCGTGGGTTCGATTCACAGCGAGGTCGGAAATTAATTTTTCCGAATTTAATTCCAAGGGCTTTCGCCCGGAATAACCTCGTTCCCAAGCACTATAACTTATCTATATTTCCGTATCTCCATGTATTTCATAAGTGCTACGCGGTCCACATATTCTCATCTAGCTGATATTGATATAGTTGATACTGAATAACCTGTCAGACATGTTAATTGTCAGCTCAATTATAAAATCGAGATCATTATGTAGATATTGGCATTAAAAACAACACCGAAATCTATATGAAAATTTTCCATGTTGTTTTGAACAAGCCGCTTGACTGTTTGTTTTCAGAATCTAATGTTTCTTTTTGTATCAGCATTATGTCCAAAAAACGGTCCTCAATAACTACATCAATGTCAGTATTTTGACAAAGTTTAATGAAAGAAGCTGAATATTCCGGCTGCTCATCATAGTTAACTGATAAATTCCCTACAATATATTAGGCTAAATGTTTCTACTGATCACTCATTAAACGATGGATGAAATGTTTTTTATCAGGCATTAATAGGTAGAAAGTGACCGTATCCTTGTTATTCTGCTATCCTTTCTCACTGAACACGGCTTCACAAGATTCAGAACAAGAACCATCTTTCTGACGAGGCGCAAGATAAATAGCCGTCACTTCATAGTTTTGAAAAACTTAGTTCGTTTAACAGAGCTAACCTTCTTTACATTGGGCTCTAGACATAACGAGATTTAAGTACATATCTCTCAACGTGAAGGGCACATTAAATAAAGAACAATTAGCCTTGAATACGAGATTACTTTACCTTGGTATGTAGTTGACAGTAAACACCCGACAAGAACAACAACTACAATCAACTCCATAAATGACACTGAAAGATGACCTTAATGCTCATTCACTTGGTTCGGTTCACTGTTAGCCGGTGTGGTAGGTTCAATCTTACTCCAACTTAATTTATGTACATAACGGTTTAGTTTCTCTTCTCGCTCCAATGATCATGCATCAACAAGTAATTAAAATTTTAAGACGCCTCTTAATTAGCAGTTAACGATGAAAGCCATGTCGTCAGTGACTAATAATACAATCATCAACTTACAGCTCATTACATCGAGTCACTGTGACTGTCATATTATCGTGCGTATTGAAGCCGATGACAACATTTGAGTGGCGACCCTATGTGTAACTCTATGTGGCTTGGCTGTCAATAAAGGATCTAGACAAAAGGACATATAAAATATTAACTTATTTACATACATTTATATAATATATTTATACTTAAATATGTTGAAAACGACAGTTGAGACGATCATTTCATCCCACCGCATTAGACATACTATTTTTTAGTTTATTTTTAAAGAGCTTTTTTAAAAGGTCTTCTGTGTGTTTCCTTTAGTTAAAAACCATCTGGCCCGCCTTATACTGCAGTTAAAATCCTTCTTCCCGTACAGCATGTTGCATGATTCATATCATTGAATACTTACCTTCATAAGCTGTTTTAGCGGACATCCCTAGAACTAGAACTGTGTGTGCAGGATATCACCGCATCCTATGTTACGGTGTTGCGACCCGTTATTTTCTGATTTAACATCGCATAAGCAGCTTCAATCAAACGGTATTAAATGCAGTACGCACTGAAAACATTGAAAAACAACTGAGCCGGTTAATGGATAGATATTTTGTTTTATTCAGTTTTCTGATCATATTGTCTAAGTCCTAAGCGAAAAGCATTGAAAAAAGAATACTTGTTCCACTTTGATTAGTAATGGAGATAATGGAACACACCCCATTTTCGGAGTTAACCTGAAAACTGGTTACAGCGAGCTGACTTTGGAAATTACGAGGGCAGTGAAGGTATTTGTATGAGAACATCCAGGCGTTTAGTTCTTCGTACAGTCACTGATTTACTTAAAGTCATTCATTTGGTGACAAAACCAAGACTACCAAACGGGACTGGGCGAATTAGTTATATTATGCTGTTGCAGGGCTATCAATCCAAAGTCATTCATCTTCGATGCTTCATTCGAATGGTATTACAAATATTGGACTTGGGGGTGTCCTGGTTACTAAAATGGAATATTACTTTTAAGCAAGCAAATAAAACTTTTAATATATTATTATTATTATTATTATTATTATTATTATTATTATTATTATTATTATTATTATTATTAA